AAGGTTTAGTATGTAAATCCTTTCCTATTGTTGTTTGCTTTCTTTTAATCATTTCTTTTTTTGACCAATATTTGTGATCAAAATTGTAAGTGATCAGAAAAATGAATTTAAAATTAGTTTATTTTAACCAGCATGTCTCATCTGCTGTCTCTGGCATTAGAAATAACAGAACTATCAGAGATGCTGAACAGGCTTTCAGATTTATAAAAACAGTGGAGCAATATTAGTCACTAAACAGAAGAAAATATCATTGTTTCTGACTTCCTTTGTTCAATGGCATGAACACTTGGGAGTTTATACTTTGCACAAAGTCCTTGGTCTAACATTCTTGTCAATATATACAGAGGTTCATAAGCATGCTCTCAAGTTAAAGGTGTATGGCTAAGCCTAGATTTCCTTTGGACATATTTATTCAGTTATACATTTGCCTATGTTCTACTTTCTCTGTGAAAACTGAAGGGCTGGGTTTGGACCACGTTCAGGCACCCTGGGGAACACCAATGAGTGTGCATTAAGCACAGCCCTCTCTCTCCATCTGCAGGCTAGGTGGTGAACTTTCGAAAGACTCTGATATTGGGAATTAAAACATTCTCTTGGCAGTGAAGGTCATAATTCCTAATTCCTCCATAGTGTTCTTCATTTCCAGGTGTAAACTCAAACTGCAGCTCTCAGCATTGCCACAGATGCCACTTCAAGTGCTAGGAAGTGCTCTGTGGACCACAGTGAGCCACAGGTTATTGGCTTTTAGGATTTTTATTCTGCCTGTGTGTGGATTATCTGCGACTGAAGGGAGATGATGCTGTACACCTTTAACACAAAGTATATACATAGTGCCATATACAGGTTTATTTGATAGCATCAGTATCAAAATTTTGGCTTGTTTACAAGTAATTCAAGTTTTGGTAGCACGGAATTAGAAATACGAAAACAGTCTGATACAAAGCCCTGACTAGTGTAATCTGTGCTAGGCATACCTGACCAAAAAAGGGCACTAACCTTGGTAACAGACTATTTTCACATCAGGCTGAATGGCAAAGATTTATTCTAGCAAAGCTGTCAGTATGGGGAAAGGTAAAGGGTACAAGCAGGACATGAAAGTAATTCAAAGAAGAAACCCAACAGATGGTTTGAGTTGGGTCAACTCAAATACCAGTTTATGACATTCATGCGAAGAGCAGAAAGAAATGTAGCTTGGAAAATATACAGATAAAGCGTGTTCTTACAGGAATGCAATTTGCTAGGATTTCAGAACTCATAAGGCTTTTTCAGACAATAAAAACATCAGCAAACATTCTGTTCTATGATCAATCTTTATAAAAACTCTTATTTAAAATATTTATTCAAAATTTAAATCTATTGCAACAGGTTAGTAGTGAAGACATGGATGTAGCTTTGCTTGTACAGGAGTGATGGATCCAATGAGTTTTAATTACCATTTTTCTTTTTAGGTATTGTGTTTGTTGTTTTTGTTGTTATTGTGTTGTTCGTTGTTGTTGTGACGCTGAGCTATTATGACAAGGATTCTGATCTGGTAGTGCTGCTGTTCCTAAGCACCACAGTTAAAACTATGGCAATATTACTGTAACTCCTAGAAAGCGTGGCATTGGACAAGGGAAGGTGTCTGTAGATAGCTTTTTTTCTTTCCTCAGAATACTAGGAAGTCACTTTTTACTTCTTCTTTGTTAAGAACAGTGCCCATGGTTACCTTGCTATTGCCAGTCATGGCTGTGTTAATAAAGACATGGGCAGATGAACTGTAATATCTTACTATTCCTTGTCAAATCACCTTTGCTCTAAAATCCTCATGACACTGGGGTATTCATTTCTGGGTAGGGGATTCCTGTTTTTTTTTTTTTCCTTCTTCCACAGCTAAATTAAACATTACTTGAAATGGGGGAATGGTGTCCCTATCAAATGGATGCCTGCTGTAACCATGGCATGTTCTTGAATGGATTCTTGCTCCAAGAGCAGGTTGTGCCATGGATACCAAGGATACAATCCCAATTTAGAAATTCATAAGAAGCAATAGTAATAAAAATGTTACCTATTGTTACTTCTTACCACTTCCTCGGTCAGAGAGGTAATTTGTACCAAGCCTCTTCAGTAGAAAAGAGGACGGTGTGCCTGAACTGTGCAGAGGAGGGCCAACACAGAGACGCATATCCAGGGGCATCAAGCTGATGTAGCACTAAAGTACAGTTGCTTCAGCACATTGTAGATAAGGTCTGCAAGAGGATTGGCATCACTGTTCAATGTAGTGATTATGGTGCTTGACCAAGAGCAATGTATTCTTGGTTACAGTCTCTGTCCTTGATTATTTCTGGCTTGTATTTGTTTTTTAATCCAGATGTCATCTAATATTAGATGTTTGAAGCCTCAGGGTGCAGAAACCTTGTCACAGGTCTCTTCTACTCAGATACAGAGTATTAATAGTCTCTGCCTGGCCCCATTCCTCTGTGTTTTCCTGCAGGAGGTGGGAGCCATGGTTTGAGCCCTTTTCAGCAGGGAAAAGCTTGGAATCCAGGTCTACTACTTCCTAAGCAAATACTCTACTTGGGTATTATGCAGAATGCTATGGCTGTGAATCAAAACTTGGCTTGCATTAAGGTTGCTCAAAGCACACCAAATAAATCAGGATCTTTAGGAGGGACAGCTAGTTTGTAAATCCCAAACAGCCTTTGTTGACAGAGAAGTGCTTAGATTGTCAGCTCAGCTCGGATTTTTCTGAAATCTAGTCCAAAATCCCTTTGTGTCTTCAGTTTTCATTACTCTCTGGGCTGTGAGGCAGAGCATTCATGTCTGGCATTCAGAATGAGGTGTTATTCAGCTTGTTTGCCTGTCCTGTGCACCTACAGTGCCTGGGCTGCAGAGCCAACTTCTACAAAAGGTTTTGTGCCCTTAAGGGAGAGAGAGTGGAAGCAGGACCAGTGCTCTAGCAGTTTGAGGGCATGGGCCTGGCAGCATGCGGGTTGTAGCGAGTCAGGATTCAGCACAGAAGTCTGCTGTTTTGACAGAGAGCATGACCAGATCCCTACTACACTTGTGTGCTCAAAATCACGCTAGGTAAGAAAAAGAGGAAAAAAGCTTGCAGATAAAATTTAAAAAGTTGATTTTTAAAAGTTTTGTGAGCACAAATGCATGGTTTGAATTCAGCTCTGAAAGAAAATAGCTTTATAGTGAATGCTTAACCAATTAAAGTCCAAACCTTGCTAGCTTCCCAAGCAGGGGTGCTTCTTATTTGAAAACCAAGCATACCCAAAGAACTTAACTATAGAGAATGGGGACAATATCTAAGCAGCTAGGTACTTCTGTGCAATTATGGATGTCCTGCAAAATGATGATTATTGTGAATAGCATAAGTAAGACATTTCTGTAAGGAGTGCCTTGGTTCCTGTTTCAGAAATGTGTGATTAGAAAGCTTGACATTACTGTCCCAGCCAATGATTACCCCAATCTACTCTGAAAGTTATTACATTGACATCTCCTCAGCAGCACTTATTCTCCAGTTGAGCTACACAATGTCTTACATATGCTGTATCTATTCATGTGTTCACAGTATAAGGCTTGCCAGGCCTTATTTGCATCTGTGGTTTATAAAACCCTGAATGCGATTTCCGGAATGCATGATGTTGCTATATGTCATCTCCTGATATGCTCTGAAAACCGACCTCCTAATGACTTTTAGTCTATTCCTAAGGCTGCTTACATTATTGTAATGTTGTTCAGTTACCTCTATCAGCACCAGCAGACCACTATAGAGATTTCAATTCCCTTGTGAGATGGCAAAGAAACTCTTTTTCTCAGCTGCATTAGTTGTCTCACTACGGATAACTCAGCCCAGATTTGCATAGGTGTTGAATGTCACAGCTGCGTGTCCCAGTGGCTGCAGAAGAGACTGGGGAGTGCTCAGTGCTTTCTGAAAAATGAGACTATTCGGATTTCAAATTTACCACTGCAAATTAGAGGAGTGGAAAGTATAAGGCAATGAAGGATGGGATTTATTTGCATTCTTCCGAATCCTGTATACTGGCATGACTACTAAATATATTTTGAGATCTCTTGAGCGTTTGAGAGCATGTAATATTTTTTTCTTAACAAGAAAGGAGGAAAATGATGGATGAAATCAGATTGTAGAAATTTTATTTAAACTCACTGTCATTCATTTGCATTTTATTTCTTGGTCCAAATGGTGCAGGGAAATCGTGCTTTTTCAGCTCTGTGAGTTCTTTGAGAACCCCCTAAAGAGCTGATAAAATAAGCATGACAACTCAAGATAAATAATTGCTTCTGGCTAATTGTTTCCAAACTGCAGTTGCAGTCATATAGTCAAAATTCGTCTTGGCCAGTTCATGGAACAGCTGTTTCATATAGTAATGCTGTGATTCATTTTGTATTCCTGTCCATTATGTGCTCTTGTTGAATTTGGAGCAATTATTTGTAGAAAAAGGTTATTGTTTTGGGGTTTTTTTGAGAAAGGCATTGGAAGCTGCCATTTTTCAACAGTGTATTTTTGTGCTGCCTTATTCCCCCCAGTAACAAAAGCAGCCAAAGAAGTGTGTCAGAAAGACAGGTTATCCTCAAAAACACATGCGAAGTGTCAGTCTCATTTCAACAATGTTCTGTGTCATTTATAATTTTTCCTGTCACGTTAACTGTTAATGGCCCTATTTAGTAAAGATGTATGATAGGGGGAAAAGAAGTACAAACTAGAAGAAACAGTACATTCTAAACAACTGGATTGATTAAAAAAAAAAAAAAAAAAAGGACTGTTCCCTCTGTAGCTACAAAAATAAAAGTACCACATACATAGAGATTCTGGCCAAATCCAGCTCTCCACTGGTAGGAATGAAGAAGAACTGAAGCTGCAGTGTATCTCACTTCCCCTCTGTAAAATGGGATATTAATTCTTTCTTCCTTCAGAGAGTTATTTAGGTTCTGTATAGTCCTTTAGCACTCCTAATGAAGGATATCCTGTGCAATTTAACTCCCTCTTTGTGCAGATACTCCTGATCACACCAAGAATGTTTCTGTGCAGAATCAGGTTCAGTGATTTGCATTAGGAACTGATGAATATGAAGCTGAGATTGTCCCCAGGAATCTGGAAGAGAAACTGAGATTGCTTCAATGAAAAGTGAGCCAGAGAGAAGAGGAAAACTTAGGAAGTAATTTCACAGCAAAGCATTAGTATGCTGGTGAGTAGAAAAATAAAGTATTCTTCCTCCATGAATTGTGCTCACTCCTGGGGAGGATAGAGATACTTGCTGCTCTTGCCATTTACCCTCTGGCCAGCTGTCTGAAGAAGAGTCATGCACCCATAGCAGTGTTAGAAATTTTTTCTCTGCTCTCTTGAGTTGTTATAATGGTTAGAACAGAGAGGAATTGCAAAGGAGTGCATTATTCTCACCGTTTAATTTTGCAGGATGCCCGTTAGTGCTTCTACCATGCAGTACAGGAGCAGCAACCTGATTGGTGTATACATCTGACAGATGCCAAAATAAGGCTACAACTACTAAGAAACACACTGACTTGAATGTAATGAGTTACAAAAAAAAAAAAAAAAAAAAAAAAGAAAGAAAAGAAAAGCCAAGGCAATAACACTAAGAACATTTTGGAAAAATGAAGTAGCAATGCTTATTTATTTAGCAGCTACAGCACAGAAGGAGAACACCAAAAATCAAATAAAATACACCTAAAGTATGGGAGTCTAATGCTAGCAAGCACCAGTTCAGTGTTATCTCCTATGGATACAGTTGGGCACAGCAGCAGGACTGTTATTTTCTCCCTGCATGATACGAGTCACTTCCATTGGAGACAATATGCAATCCTAAGAGCTAAGCACTAGGTGTTTCATATTTGCCGAATCTCTTGCTTTGAGTCATTGATTTCTTCGCCTCGAATCTCATCTCTGGCCCAGTTAGTGAGCCATTAAGTGAGGAGTCTACTGTGTTGATGAAATAATAATTCTGTTTACAGAGCCCCTTCTCACCAAGACACTGTAGGTGCAGCACAGTATCTGCTTAATTTACACTCTTTTAATAATTAAAGCCTTTCTACCTAATGCCTTTGTGCAAAACAGAATTCTTGTGCTATCTTCAATCAGAAGCAATTGCAGGGAGGCAGTCTGGGGAATTGATCCTAGAAAGTTGCCCATTTGTTTAGCAACAGAATGTCCTTTCCTCTAAAGGAAGGAAATGTTCTCTTCTTTTGAGGAAAGTGCTCTGGCCACATGCATGAGCACAGCAGCTGAGAAGTAGGGGTACTCCATTTCTGCCATACTTGTGTCCCATTTCAACATGCTCTGAAAACGTTAATATGATAATTCAAAGACTTTTTTTCCCCTTTCTTAAAATTTAAGATGCACTGAAATCATACATATCCTTTTAAACCTACTGGTTTCTGAGAGGAGAAGGGAGACGATAACAAGGAACAGTGTGTGCCAGCTAAGTGGCTGATGTGCCATCCCATCTTTTCAAGATGGCAAGCTGCTGGCTTTACTGTGAACAGTTCTTTGGTACTCCTTGTCTGAGAACACACAAGGGCCTTTACAAAATCCTATCCAGTTATTTACTTTCATGGGTGACCTAAGCCCGTTTACTATATGCTCAGCAATCCCAACTCAGGGGTGAAAAGAGATTAGTTATGAGGCAAAAATATCCTTTAACCATAACGGCTTGGTTCTCCAATTATTTTATTAATGAGAGTTCACAATGTTTTTGTAAATAGCTATATTAGGGCTCTGCATGCACTTTGTGTAGGTGTAAATAAGAGATGAAGTCTGTGAGGGGTCAGATGTCACAATCCTAAACTGCTGTAATTACTGATTTTTGTCTGCATACTAGCTCTCAGGCTAATACAGAGTAATTAATTAACTACATGGGCTGGATACAACACTGAAGTGACCATCTGCAGCAGCAGAATAACTAGCTATGAAATGTGGTGACTCTCGTAACTACCCAGTGTGATTTCTCTTACCTGCAGGTAGGGATGAGGGCAAGTGATCCTTGGTCAGAACCTTCACCCCTCTTGCACCTGTATGGCACTGCTGGTGGCATGAAGGTATGGGAGCAACTGAAATGTATGATGTCCTCAAACAATGCTTCTGAAAATATTTTCCTAAGATTTTTACTTTGCTTCTGTCACAAAAAGCAAGACTGGAAAACAGTTTGAGAGCTCCTTAAGATAAATCCTTTTGTGCCTTTCCTGCGGATGCAGGTAATTGCAGAGAGATTTGGGATCAGTCTAAATCAGATCCTGCCCATTAAAAAATACATCTCAGGGTTGGATTTGACATGCAGTGTTGACATCCTTTTTTCTATAGTGAGGCAGATGATATGCTTAGCAGACAGCTACTTTGACAACTTCCCTTCTGAGGAGCTGAAGGAAAATGCTGAAAATTTCCTGTAGCTTTTGATATTTTATGTGCTTCCTGGCCTAATCTTTATAAAATCCTGGCACTGGAGGGGGTCACATTTACTGCTACCACAAGCAGATGCAACTCCGGAGATATCAGTAGAGTTGCATCTTGTAGTTTTGAAGCTGGACCTCCCTTTGATGAAATATGTTGCCTTCTTTATGTGTAGGGAGAAGAGAGTTGCCCTCTTTTGAGCTTTGATACCAGTTCTGTAGTCTTAAATAAGGCAGCAGGATCTTTCCAAAACTGTAATTTCTTTCCATTAGGAGAATCACCTGTGCAAACTTGTCAAGAAATTATGCATATAAAAAACTAACACATTACTTCCTCCTAGTAGTTTGAATGACATATTGAGTTATTCTCTATGCATTTTGTATCCTTTTTGCTTTCTTCCTTTCCCTTTATTGCACTAAAACTTGCCTCCTGTATAGCTAAGTGTCCATGTTATGTGATAACATCTAGCTCCAGAAACAGATTCTGAAACCACTGTAAATAGCTATTGAACCAGACTTGAACTGCCAGTGTGCTCACTCAGAATGAGTTGAAATCTGGCAAGAGATTTATAGAAGTGCATTTCCATTGTACCACTTCTTTAATCAAAAATTCCTAACAATTTTCTGGTAAACTGATTACTAGGAATATATCTTTCAAAATCGTTATGTATCTGGTTTGTTTTCACCTGTATTGGTTTGAATCTTATCACAGCATGTACCAGAACTTACCTGAATATCTGAGGAAAATGCTGAATTTTATTTATAAAATTTTTAGGGTCACATGTAATGAAGTGACAATGTGTTTTAGCATAACTACAACTGTGAATACTTTCAGTATGGCTGATGTAAGGTCTATGACACAGTTACTGTATCTTCTCCAAAGGTACTGGTAGATGAAAAAGCTTCTTCTCATACTTTAAGTCATAATTAAAACTGATTATATCTTAATGTACAGAAACTTATTTTGTAATGGCTTGGTCAAGTTTGCCCTCTAGTGGTACAAAATTTGCAAACTGTGGACTCCCAGAAGGCAGTGCAAGAAGGGCACTCTGTGGGGAACATAGCTAATGGATTTCATTTCACTCTTGTCTGATTCATGATTCAGTCTATTTATCAGCATCTACTGTGAGCGTGTAACTGTTCAGACAGGACACTTTCTCACCTAGAGGTCGGGTGAAGTCTGAGCAAGCCTGCTTTCCTTGCTGCACTGCAGGGAAGCAGAGAGGAGTCCAGCAATTCTCTAGTCTATGAGATAAACCCAACAGCTGTTGGTAAGAGTAGTGAAGGCTGCAGTTAGGTTCCCTGGGGTTTTGGTGTATGAATACATTCAGCTGGTTGAAGCACGCTCGATTATGAAGCTCTTTCATTACAACCCTGCATTACAACAAGAGAAAAAAAGTCCTACAAATAATATACTCAGGAATTAAGACAGAGTAGAACATAAAGTTGGACTAAAACTGAGAGGTCTTTTCATATGAAAAAAATCTTTTGGGAACAGAAGGAGGTAATTAAACCCAGTAGCTGTGAAATAGCCATGTGATAAACCAGAAAACAGCCTCTCAGTCTCTCACCCGGAGAAATACTGCCATTCTCAAATGTGAGGCATGGTATGGCAGACTATGCTATGTATTATGTTTCTCATATGATTTTGTAAATGATTTACCCACGTTTGCTTAGTTTTTATTTATTTAAATTTTTTTCTTGAAATATGCCAATGTAGAGAAAAATGATGAAGCTCAATGATTTTGGTGGTGTTAATGCAAATATTGAGGAAAAGAGTGAAATTCAAGAATGGGGTTATGTGGAAATTATCAAGTGTCTTCCTGAGGGGGCTGGCTGCGGATGATTGCACTTCATCTGTATTCAAAACAACCAATGACTTGTGGCAGTTAGTTTCAAACTGCCTTAGGATGAAGTGCTTGTTGAATTGTGGGAGTGTAATGACAGCCTTATTGGATGAAAGATTTCCAGAGCTAAAATATGAGTTTTGGCATTTTAGTTATACACAACTACAATTGCAGCTAGTAGTACTTGATACAGAGCTGCAGTTAAAACAGAACTGGTGACTGGAACAATGCTGCAGGGGTGGATAAAATCACAGAAGAAATTTATATTGCCAATATATGTGGCAGTTCAGGCATACTGTCCTGGGTAGCTGATCTTAAAATGAACCAGTTGCATTATAAAGTATTAGAAGAACAAATAAGCAGACAAACATGTGAATATGGGGCTTAGGTATAGCATTTGTGTTAGGTTTTAGGCAAGGTGATTCTCTGAATGATGTCCAAAACAATGCCAACAGTAAAGCAGGGTTTTGAGGGAAGCAAAAATATCCATTTATCAACCACTCTTCACTGGAGTGCTGAAAACATGCAGCATGTCTGTCTGGGTGAATGAAAGTGGTACTCAAGCATTTGCACCACGAATTACTTAGCCTTAGAATTGGTGTTAGAAGCTTAAAAGAGCAGAGAAATTCTTCTCAATTACATTTGTTCAAGAACTGTGTAGATGTGGTACTGAGGGACATGGTTACTGGGCAATATTGGTAGAAGCTGAATAGGTGGACTAGATGATTTAAAGGCCTTTTCCGACCTTAATGGTTCTATGATCTGTATGTTATCATCTTACAAATCAATACTTCAGACGAGGATTTTTTCTGTAGGTATTTTTTGTGTAAGTATACAGATTTGGTAGGACTGTGTGTCCCACAGAGCGCTGAGTTTTGCCACTGCTGGTACCTAAACCTAGCTAGTCTGTGCTTACCCATAACTAGAGAACTAACAGGGATGCAGAATTATGTAAAAAAAAAATAGCTAGCCTCAGATCTCTTCATAAAAATAAATGAAGTAGAATTGTAGAATCATAGGAGCTCCACAACACTGTACAGAAAAAGCTCCACGGTCCCCTGCACAAGTGAAAAGACTGAAACAGAGAGTGACTTGTGATCTCTGCACAAGGGAACTCTCCCAGGGGCTTGGGGTTGTCACTCTGCCTCTCCCTCTGTGCAGGAGGGGGATGTCAGCATCACAGCATTTCTCATGAGTGGAGCAATCCATTTTGTTGATCTACCACCTGGCCCAAAGGTGGGGAGAATGCCAGGTTCCCTGTTTGCCTGGTGCTAACCAGCTGGCCCTGGGCATGCTTAGGAGCCTGCAAAGCCAAACTAAAGGCAGGAGGCAGCACGGGAGCTGGCTCTGAGCTGGATGGGATCTGGCAGCCTTACCTGGCCCTGGGAGCTCTGTAATTCATGCAGTTGCAGCTGGGGATCTGAGCACTTGGCAAAAGGGGCAACCTGCCTGCCAGATTTATTTTGGTCTGTCAGGCAAGGTCACCAATTAATTCCTCTGGAGCATTTCAGTTTGGTTGTATCAAGATTTTTTAGTGTGAAGCAGTAGCATTGTAAAGAACTATGCCTACCTTCACAGATGAAAGTAAAAAATCTGGATACAGTGTAGGTGCTTATACTCAAGGTTGAAATCCCAAATAGTCCCTCCTATACCTCTTAATAGCAAAGTCTGTAACTGCCTGATTTTTCTCAACTTCTAACAAAGTAGTAAAGATCATCCTTGCATCTGCTCAGAAGTGCTGTAATAGCTACAGGCCTTAGCCCTGTCTCATATACAAGACAGATGAGGAGACTCAAGGTTCTTCTCTCTGTACCTTTAATTTAGTGACACCCACAAAAAATGCAGGATCTGTGATTACAGTTAGTGATACAACAGTTCCCACCTATTTGCTTACAATGATGAATGGATTGAACAGTCACCTGAGATGTGAAACCCAAATTGTAGCTGTGTTCAGACACAAATTTCCAACACGTAATACAGCAAGTCCTAAGAAACAATTGGTGTTCTATGGAGCATGTTGTGGAGACATCCAAATTAGGATCAAATGGAAATGGTCCAACCATATTACAAAGTTTAATGGTTATGAATATATCTGCAGTGAGTCTGAGGTAATGTATAGAGATCATGGCAAGGTAAACATTTCACTGCTGGTTCCTGCCCCACCCTGTGTCTACGTCAGTCTTCTCACAGATCTGTATATCAGTCCCAAAATCTCATGCTCAAGAACAAATTTTGATTATTAATAGTTCTGTTTTGAACATATAAGCAGGAATCCAGGAATAAGTGTTAGATTATTTTGCTTAAATTCCTGACTGTATTTCTTTTGATATAATTGTCTTTTTATCAGCTGGTGAGAAAACAAAGCATCTCTTGCTAGAGTAAATTTTCTACCATATGAGAGACAAATATGACCATTGTTAAACAAGGCACTTTAATATTTTCATGTAACCCGACATTCTTTATAGATATTATTTATACTTGCAAAGATTAAGATGGTATGTAGAGAAAATAATCTGAAAAAAAAAAAAAAAGAGGTTAGTTTGTGTGCTAGTCACCACATTTTGTGTGTTTGTTATTACTTACCATATTTTGAAATTAATTTTATTACCCAGAAGATTTTAGGAGTTATAGAGGTGCCTTAAAACCACAGAACTGAGAGAGACTGACCCATTTCCCTGGTGAGATAAAGCATGGATATATCAAAAGCCAGTGGGTCGTTATATCAGTACCCCAGTTTAGCACTGTATTTGTTATAGTAACCCTAGCAGAATTCATGCAGGAATTAGGAGTGACTCTCCAAGGATTGTTCTATCTTCAAAGCACAGAATTTACATAAAGACAAAGGGTATCAAAGGTGATAGAGAATTTGGCTATCTAATAACAAGACAAAAGCTGACTTATGCGCCATATCATGAGTCCCTGTTAGCTGCTACTGGCAAGATTTTGGTTTAAGTTAGCCTCGATTATGTCGACAGCAGTTGGAGTATTTAAGATAATCTATAGAGTCCTTGGATATTCAAACACCTCATGTGCCCTGAACTCCATTTGTGCCAAAAGTAATTTACCTTTACTGTGATTAGTGTAAAAAATGTCCTGGGCCCTAAGTTGGTTTGTAATCACAGGTGAGTGGAAGCTACATAGTGAAAGAACAGTGAGAAGAAAGTCTGTAGAACTCCAGAAGGCTGTTTTCACAGATTTCTGAATTTTGAGGCTGCCTGAGTAACTTCCAGCTGAGGTGCTGAGCTGGTTGCTCCTCTGGAGGCTTGTTTCTATAGGTTGGGCAGAAGATTGCTGGCATGCCCGCATTTGTCCCGCTTACAGAATCTGAATGGGCCACTGGGCAATGGTAAGTGGGGAAAGAAAGGGATGGAAGGAAGAAATGCACTACAGATGATGAAGGGAATGCTGTGATTGTATCCATCTGTATGTGTATATGATTGCTACTTCTCAAAATCCATCTGAAAGTTAACTTAATTGTGTTAGGACATGCTTGTTCAATGTGAATTGCAGCTAAGTGAACTGCAAGAGAAAGAAAGATGTTTTTTTGTGTAATGGTATTTTCAGGTACCGTAATAACAACCTTTCAGACTCCTTTAGGAAGGACCG